TCTTTCTCTTTCTGCCCTCATCTGTCTCCTCTTTTCACCTCTCTGTCTCTATCTCTATCTCGCTCTCTCCTCCCTCTCTCTCTCTCTCGCTCTCTCTCTCTCTCTCTCTTCTCTCTCTCTTCTCTCTCTCTCTCTCTCTCCTCTCTCTCTCGCTCTCGCTCTGTTGTCATTTTTCTTTCTCTGGCCCCTTCATCTTATCTTTTTCTCCTTATATCTTTAATCTCTTTCTCTTTGCAAACTCTTTAATCTCTCTTTCCTTTCTCTCTTTCTCTTTCTTTTATTACTTTGATGCATTCTCTCTCTCAAGTCTTCACGCTGAAGTCTACCCTTTTTCACTCTTCCTTTCTGTCTTATCCTGTTTCTTTCTCCCTTCTTCTCTATCACTTCTCACACCGCTCTCTTGCTCTCGCTTCCCGCTTCTCTTCTTCCGTTCCTCCCCTCTCTCCTTTCTCTCTGTCTGTCTGTCTTTCTCTATCTCTCTCTGGTCTCTTCTCTCTCTTTATCTCCTCTCTCTCTCTCTCCTCTTCCTCTCTCCTCTTGTCTGTTCATTTTTATTTCTCCTGGTCCTCTATCTTATTTTTTTTTCCTTTATATTCTAATAATCTCTTTTTTGCTAAATCCTTAATCTTTCCTTCTTTTTTTTTTTCTCCCTCCTTTCTCTCTCTCTCCTTCTTTTCTTTTTCTCACTTTGATGTATTCTCTCTCTAGTCTATCGTGGAAAAGTCTTCCTTTTTCGCTCTACCTTTCATTTGTTCCGTTTTCCCTCCCTTCTCTCTATCAACTCCCTCCTCATTACTTCTCTCTCTTTGTTTCTCTCTTCTTCTCGTTTCTCTCTCTCTTCTATCTTCTCGTCTTCTTCTCTCAACTCTTCTTCCTCATCTCTCTTCTTCTCATCTCTCTCTCTCTCCCTCTCTCTCTTCTCTGTCTCTCTCCTCTCTCTCTCTCTCTCTCTCTCTCTCTTCTCCTCTCTCTCTCTCTTATATATATATATATATATATATATATTATATATTATATATAAAAACATACAACTACCCACTTTCCTTCCTTCTTCCCCCTCATATCCCCTTTCCTCTTCTGATTATTTTTCTTTATTTTCCAACGACGGTTTCTTTCTGCTCCGCGGAATTCAAAGGGCTTGAGAGGACGACCGTTTCCCGTTATTCGCACCGTTAAGAGAACGAAAAGAAATGGGACGAAAATAAATAAAAAAAGAAGAAGAAAATCGTGGTAAAATCCAAGTCCACCGTTCATTCGAGGAAAGTACTGTGTTGTGTTTTGTGGTTTCCGAGATATGATCGTTATAAATGAACGTTTTGATTTCGTTATTTTTCTTCTTTGCTTTTCTTCTTCTTCCTTTTCTCCCTCCTTCTACATATCTTCTTTTCCTTCGTCTCATTCCTCTTCCTCTTCTTCTTCTTCCTCCTTGTTTATTCTTATGTTTTCTTCTCCCTTCTCCGTTTCGTCTTCCTCGAATATTAAGCGTTGGTGACATGTCGCAACTGACTGACCTTGAACATGTTGACAACGCGTCGAAAAATCAGCTGATTGCCTTTCCCCGGGATGCACCTACCTCGACTTTATAAAGATGAGTGGTTTTGTGGAAAAAAATATCACCTATTGTGTGAATTTTCTCATAAATGTTGTTCGTCCAAAGGTATTTAAGATATATGTATTATAGACGTGATGTTGATGAAGATTGTAAAACTGAAACGTTTAATGATAATCAAATAATCCATTTTCATTAATAATCTTTTAATTCGACTCACTTGTATGTGATTAAACAATTTAAGAGTATTTTTCTATATTACTTAAGAATCAATACAAGTAATTCGAATTTATATGAAATTTAACTGAGCGGCTAATAAGCTGTACAAATGATAATTAATTCGTCATGTCTTCCAACCTTTTATTATTATTTCATCCTAAAATAATATTTTAGATAATGCAAAATATTTTATAACAAGTATTTCTTCGAATAGATATTACAACAATTAACTTATTATATCAGCTATGACCATTATATGCTAAATTGTATCGTTAGTTGCAGGTATAATGTTATATTTCCTTCCATAATTTGTAGCTATTTCTCCTCCCTTGGTATCAGGTTTGGGACAGAAAGGAATAAAGATTTGTCTTGAAATTAATTTTATGGCGATTATGAACAACTGTAGAATAATATGATCTTCCACGTACTCTCTCCTCTCTTCTTTTGCCCTTCTTTCGCATTCTCATTTCTCTCTCTTCCTTCTCTCTCTCTCTCTCTCTCCCTCCCCCTCCCTCTCTCTCTCTCTTCTCTCTCTCTCTCTCTCTCTCTCTCTCTCTCTCTCTTCTCTCTTCTCTCTCTCTCTCCCTCTCTCTCTTCTCTCTCTCTCCTCTCTCTCTCTCTCCTTCTTCTCCTTCCCTGTCCCTTTTCTT